TCCTTCTTTTTGAAAGTTTAACAAGATCATAAGTATCATTTTTTTGTAATGACTCTATCTCTTCTTTCATTATTTTTAATCAATACTTTCTATCCGAAGTAGCCAACACATTTTGAAAGCTCTATGACTCTTCTTTACTCGTAACTAAAATAAAATCTAAACTTAGATACCTTGTAAATAGCCTATGCTCTTTAGTAGATCTTCTAGGCTTAAACTCAACACCACCTCATACAGAAGGTAGCTCTTTCTACTTAACACTTTCAGGTAGAGATGATTGCTCTCATTGCTCAAAACTGATTGCATCTAACTCATCACTAACTGTAACTAGTCATTCATATCTCCAAGTTCTATTTTTTACTCATTTTCATCATCTGTGACTCTTTTCTATAGAACCCCAGTTGGTGTTAAAATATCACACTCAACAGTAATCCATGTATTCTTTTCATTTTTTTCAAGGTTTATTATGATTTTTTTCATAGAAGATCACATCTATGCTTCTGACTGTTTTTCTTTTCATCAGATCACATATCCTGTAATTAAATTTCTTATCACCATATCTTACAAACATACATTGTGTGGCTTTATTGTCAAGTTTTGACTTTTGCTCTTTTGGCATATGCGTGAATGTTTTATACTCAAAAACTTTCAAGTGAAAGTATGAAGCATCTTTTTTTATCTACACACTTTTTAGAATGTCAAAACCCAAAAGAACTGATAATGATTTGTTAAATAAATAACAAACTATGTTAATTGCTTCACCCTAGAATAGTTTTAGTAGTTTTATCATTCTTAATATACATCTAACTTTTTTCACAATGGTGAGGTTCATCCTTTCAGCTACACCATTATGCTATGGTGTTTTAGGTTTTGTCATCTCATGCCTGATCCCATCTTTTAAACAGTATTTTTCAAAGTGTTTGAATGTATATTCCTCACTATTATCAGTTTGAATACACTTCAAGGGCAACTTTGTCATCCTTTTCACCATGGCATAAATTTTTTGAAAATACTATGATATCTTATTTTTATTTTTTAACATATACACCCAAGTCTTACGTGAAGCATAATTAATAAAAGTAACAAAATACTTGCTATCACCTAATGACTCAACCTCAATGGGACCATATACATTAGAATAAATTAATTTTAATATATTTTCTTTTCTTTGATAACTCTTATGAAAAAAAACTCTATGATACTTACCAAATAAATAATGATCACATGAATCAAGAGACATACATTTGCTCAAGAGAATGAGACACTGCCTTGCCAAAACTCGTAACCCCTTTTTACTCATGTGTACTAGCTTCTTGTGTCACAAGTTTGCTGAAGCATCATCCTCAATATCTGATTGTCATTCAATTGCATCCATGTCTTTTACATTGTGCAGCATAGGTTTTTCCTTGTAACAACCATATATCTTTCGAGAAGCTTTCACTGCTTATTCTTTTGTCGACTCTCATATCCTTACTAATTAAAGGCATTAAGAGCAAGTAAGTTCATTCTTATATCTAAAATGTGTTTGACATTTCTCAAAGTCAATATGTAGTCTGTACTAGTTTGTACAACAATATCCTCAATCCTAACAATCTGTGACACACTTTTGTTTTTGATTTTGGTGCAACCAAAGTCTCTTACTTTATAAGTTGTAAACAACCCCATCTTTGAAACACAATGATATGCCGTTCCTATATCAACTATCCACTCAATGTTGGGATCACTAACATGATTACAATCACCATGTGTACAAATCAAAGTAACTGAATTATTATATGAATTCACTGCTACAACATTACCATAATCCAAACTCTTACCTTTTTTATTTTTTCGCTTTTGTTTCAAGATTTTGCAGTATCATTTTATATGACCTATTTTGCTACAGTAGAAGCACTTTACTTTATCTCTGGACTTAGATCTATGTTTAGACTTACTACGACCTTTTGAGTTATGACCTTTGTTGATGTTTCTACCCCTGTTTTCTATGACTAGAGCTTAATTTTCAGGGTCTGAATCTTTTCGCCTTACTTCTTCATTAAGCAAACTATCATTTATCATCTCCAATATCACCTTATAATTATGAGCTAAATTAAGAATAGTCACAACTAAAGTATTCTAGTTGTCTGACAATAAACTCAAAAGAAATAATGCCTTCATTTTATCATCCATCTTAAGCTCTATAATAGTCGTCTGATTAAATATATCTTAAAAATTACTCAAATGTTTTGTAATCGATTGTTCATCCCTGTATTGTAAAGTTGTAAGTTTTTTAACAAGCATAAATTTATTCATACCTATTTTTCTCTCATACAACGCTATCAATTTTTTTCAAACAGTGTAGGCATCTATCTCTTGCGCTATATGATGGAATACATTGATATTAATCCATTTTTTGATTGTAGCCAACGTCTTTCTGCCTTACTTCTTCAAACTTTCATCTTTCATATCTGTTCGTTTAGCCGAATCACCCAATACTGGCTCATATAAATCTTTATAGTATAAATGATCTTTCATCATAGGCTTCCAAATTGAATAATTCGATGTTGTCAATTTTATCATAGAACTTGTATCACCCTCCATGATATCAAACAGAATTTACTTTTGTTTTGGGCTGCTTCTGTATCGATGTCTCAAAATAACCTTCGCTTTGATACCACTTGTTAGACCTGAAGCAATAAACACTACAACGTAAAAGTAATATATCGCAATAAACCCAAATAATAAACAACAATTAACAATCAACAACATAGGAAAAATAAAGCACACTAAGATTTATGTGAAAAACCTTCCAATGTAGAGGGAAAAATCAAGGATCACCAGAAAAAAATCTTCACTATCAAATAATGAATATATAAAGTTCTTATTCTCCAACTAAAACTAAAGCTAATCAATAACTAGATAAATAATTAGAGAAATCTCATCAAATAGGTGACTCAATAAATACACTATGGATTTGTTCTTAAAGAGATTCAAACCCGATTTTCATCATTCAGGACGTAAAACTCTGAATCATAAACTTACTGACAAAATTTTAGTTAATCGGACTACGAATCGACTTCCGTTTAATCAACTCTCTCTTCTCCCTTTTCTCTCTATTTTTTTGGCTTCCTTTTTCTCTTTTTTTTTCTAGGTTTGCAGCATCACCTTCTTTTATTAAGTAGTTAGGGTTTTGTGTAAAGAGAAAGACCAAGGCTCATGACCTTTGATTGATCCAAATCCAATTACATGAGGTTAGATCCTATTTTCCTAACATAAGGAAGATTACAACAGGGGATCCGAGAGACCATGTGCTTGGTCGGGCTGTATGTTTGTGCAGTTGTGATGGTACTGTGCCTTCAGGAACATAGGAGCTTGCATTTTCTGATACTGTTGCTTATTCATTTCCTGAAACATCAAAATGGAATATGCATTAAAATTTATTCATAGTGGGATATTGAGGAACTTAAAAGAAAGGAAAAAGAGTAAAATGCTGGAACAATACGGGATTACCTTGATAGCATCAGTTAGATTGCCGATCACCATCCCTAGAGATTCTCCATTGGAGGAATGGTACACATTGGAGTCAAGAAATGGTAAGTAATTGTTTGGCTTCAATGGCTGTTGGCTCAACGGCTTTTCCACATTCTTGAAGTGACTTAACTGAGTTGTCAAATCGATCGCCACGGATTAACCACCAATGTGTAAGGAGACACAACCATTTTAGTGAAACAAAATGGAAAGGAATGATATGCTTCTAACAAAAACCTCATAACATTAAACAGAACACATTTGATCAAGATGCCAGAGATGAGAGTGCTTATGACAGATGGCAGACTTATGAGCAAGCGCATGCCATTCCTCAGTTAGTTTCAGCCAATGCACGAGCTCCACCCGAGGCAAAATTGACCCCAAAAGTAAATTGATGATTTCCAGCTTGTAGATATGGTGGAATTAGTGGTCAGTTGCATACTCGGCTGCAAGAATACCAAAACACTAAGAACACATAGGTCATATTTCACTACAAGAAGGAAAATTGAAATTTGTGTTAACAATGAAGTCTGAAATTATACCACCACAAGAAAACCTTCCAGTGGGGTATTTGAAGAAGGTTTCCAATAATTTGCCCGAGCAGTTGTGTTGATGTAGCTTTTATTTCCAGGAACAAACAATGAATCCCCCAAGATAAGCAAGGCGACATGGTTTTTTGGCAGACCATGGCTGCATAAGAGGTTGAGAGAGCTTCCATAAAATAAAGAGAAACATAAGAAGAACCTTAAACTTGAAATGTTAGAAAATGGAATTTCACTTTATGTCATTCTCCTTAGTTTGCTTGATATTATAGAGTTGCTTGATTCCTACATGAAGCATAATTCAATCCTGTGAGATGCAAGAAATTTCGATGTAATATCGCAGAACAAGGCGTGAATTTGCACGAAAAAAAGCGAAGTAAATTTTGAATGGACCAGACAGACAGTTAATTGTTTTTTTAGTGAAACAGCTGAAGTTGTGAACTTCAACTGATAAAGATTGACAAAATGAAAGGTTGGGATTTACCCAAGAAAAAAAATGAAGGATGGGAAAGAGTTTGGTTCTTTATTTCGTGGCAAATTCCATAGACGAAAGTTTATGCGGCTCACTTCATTTGCAGATTTGCAGATCTTAAAAAAGCAAAGACAAGACCCTACTATTCAACAGATACCTCTTTCAATGAATCAGCATACATGGCTTGAAGGTTTTTGAGTGGTTGATAGGTGGTGGTGATGTGAGTCGTGAGATACGCACTCCCTCAAAATATCTGGTAAACGCCATTAATGGTTGTAAATTAGCAAGCACTGCCTATATATACCAGGTGATAGCTCTTTCCAATATGTATATCCAACATTTTAACACTATCTTGGCTGACCATTTTTCTTTGATGAAACCAATGCTCTATAAAATTATAATTTGCCACTGGCATAAGGGAAAAAAAACAATGAATTTGTTCATTGCTAGGGAAAAGAATCATAGTAATGCATATGCGCTGCTAAATTATATGGATTAGATATTTAGAACCCACGTATTTAGACACTTTTTTTTTTTTTGAATGAAAATCTTGTTTTCAAGGTGAATAAGACCTTTGCCAAAGGAATTCTCTGTTTTTTGGGACAAAATTTGCTCAATGAATTCTGAATAGTTGACTCATGTTGTAAGGTCCAACATCATGAGAATTACTTGTTCCACTCCACATTTGATCTGCCAATTGTTTGTAAATCTTTTCGGTGAGATGGAAAGAGTCCCAAAACACATAGTCATTTGGATTCTTGCAAAGTTGAAATTCCTTCACTCTCCTTTTTCCCCCACAGCTGAATACTCCTCTATATTGCCCCGTTCCACAGCATGCTGCCTCCCCTTCCTTAAAACCTTCATGAAACAAAATTTCCATCCAATTAATATGGAATAATTTCTATTTCTTTAAAGTCTGTAAAAATTTTTCCAGGAAACAAACATATAATTCCATTAGCAGTTAGCAATGTCCTTGTATGGACTGTGTAATGCAGTTCAAATTTTACTGATCCAAACCTATTACTAAAAAATTTCTAGGCATTAGAACCTTGGCAAGGCTCTTTATTAAGAACTTTTTAGACAAGGTTATCATTTACCCTTAAGCTTGGACTACTAGTTCTCAAGCTTTGCAAGATGTCGAGGTTTCAAATCAGTTGATAGATGATGGCTTTTCCCTCTAAAATTTTTCTTTTGACCAATAATGGTACCTTTTTTTGAGGTGTTCAACAAATAATTAATGTTCAATGCTTTTTTTTTGACAGAATGTTCAATGCATTTATAGAAACTTTCAAACTTAAAATATATTATGAATCATAGATGTATCATGTATGTGAGAGGTCCATGTTAATCTCAAATTTAGTTCAGTTAGCTCATGTAATTGTTTTTGAAGGTGACGTTTAATTAATCTGAAAATTAAATCTCAGCTCTTATAATCTTTTGTCTATCCCTAATCTGTACAAGAAATGCTTGATTGTACGTACCATATTTGGAGGGATGATGCATTCTTTGTCTGAGATTGCTGTTGAAGTCAAAAAGTGAATACTTAAACCCCTTCAATCGTTTTTCTAACCCAAAGAGGAGCTTGGAAAGAGCTTTGTTATGTAATGTAACCAGTGATGTTACTTCTTCCAAGCAGCTTCCATTGTTTTCAGACTTGGTTATCTTCATCCCTGGAAGACAACCTAAATCCGGCAAGTTGATGAACCCAAATTTTCGACCTCCTCGTGTATATATTTCCTGCCAAATGAACACCAAAACATAGCATTTTTTAATCACAACTTTACCACATTTCGTCCCACATCTTTCTAAGAGAAGAAACTTCGATTTTAGACAATCTACCATTCCATTTTGGATAATTGAGACGAACAGTTACTTACTTTAATGACTGTTGTGAGGTTGCCGATTACCATCCCAACATATATGGAGTCAGAGTAGTTGTGTAAGATGGTGGAATTGGTCAAGAAAGGGCTCATGTAATCATTGCTCCCAATGCTAAACAAGTAAACAGCTCTTGACATAGTCATCTTCGCGTCATCATTTCCTAATTTCTGTCTCAACCAACTCTCCACCTTGTAATAGTAGCTTAGCTGTGTTTTAAGATCGATCACCTGAAAAGTAAAAGTTGATCGAGCTAGTATTTAACCCTGCTATCGAAATCTCCACAAAATTCATGGCTGTACGTTTGGCACATCATTCAATCTCTCTGGTCTGCATATATATATATATATATATATATATCCATGTTGACCTGGGATTGATCATGTACGAATTTCTTAGTCGAAGTTTTATTGTGAATTAGATGGGACAGGATACCAATAAGTTTTGTTGGGGCCTAGCTTGATGTTTGACAAATCAAAGAATACATGGTGGACCCGAAGCATTAGGTGCATCCAGCCAAGTAAAGTAAAAAATGTCTCAAAATTTTACCATGACCACAAGGTTTTGGTCAGGACTATCTCCAGTTTCTAAACATTCACACCATAAAAGTGTTCTCCAAATCCTTCCCTCTTTTTTTCTCTCTCTGTTCTACTTCCATTTTTAATCCTTTTATGGTATGTTGTAGAAGATAATGAAAAGGGTATTTATTCAAGTAACTTAGTAGTAGCATTTTGAGTTGAGCATTGGATAAATACATACATAAAAAGGTGTTTAACAGAAGAAAACATACCTAGATGTGAGATTGATATATGCAATTTCATTCTCCAGAATATATAAATAATCAAGAAATGGGAAAGGATGAAGATAATACATACAAATCCTTGAAATGTCTCAGTTAGAGCACCTGCTCCAGCAGATGCAAAATTTACCCCGAGGATATATTCTCGAAAACCCGGTTGCAGGAAAGGCTGGATCAATGGCAAGTTTGCATTTTCAGCTACAATAGGACAAATGAACAATGTATACAAAGATGAGAGACAAGAAAAGAAGATCATGTTACGGTTAACCAAACTGAAGTTTGCACAAACAAGAAAGAAGAAGATTTTGCAAAATCTTACCAATAAAGTCTGATACCAAACGCCCATCAGAAAATCTTCCGGTCGGAAACTTGAAATAAGTTTCTCCATAAGGCCAGCAATTTGCTCGGTCAAGAGTTGAAGTGTTGATGTAGTTGTTGTTGCCAACATCCAGAAATGAATCACCAAATAGGAAGAAAGGCACAGCCATAGCAGCAGCAGCAGCAGCATGCTTCTTCGGCTGCTGCTGCGATATCCCTATGCAACATGTTGCAATGAGTGCTACATGAAGGAATAAGGAAATGAAGAAGAGAGAGCTTAGTCTCGCCATGATTAAGTTCTTCTCCATGGCTTCATTAATCATTCAGTTTCCCTCCCAAAATATATTGACTTTCTCTCCATTTGATATGTGAAAATGACTAAACTACATATATATATATATTATTTATGCTAGCTAGAGTAGACCATAGTTTTCAAATGAAAAGCAAATTAAAATTTATCTTTTTATTTAAACAATGACTTGGGAATGATTAATATATATGGTCAAATTTGTTTGTTAAGTTTGAGCAAAAAGGAAAAGAAAATATTCTACGGCATACATTTTGGTGAATTAATTGTCTTTTGTGTTGTTTTTATATGGTTGAAAGTTCAAATTGAAATTTCACTAGCTAAATTTTTAGATCGATTCTATTAAATTAATTTGCCAAACATTTTCCAAAATTTAATATAAATTAATAAAAGTTTATTATGTAAGATATTCACCCAATACATTAAAAATTATGAATAAATTTGTCAACTATTACATTTAATCTAAGTTATTACCTATAAATAATATATTAATTAGCCTTAAAAAATATTCTAAGGACAGTCACTTAACAAAACCCTTCAAAAATTTCAAGAGCATTTTTTATTTTTCTTGGAATTTAGATTTTTTTTTCTTTCTTAAATTTTGAAATTTATTATTTGTGTTCAAAAACAAGAAAATCAACATTGCTTTAGGTAGAACCTTTCTCGAATCATCCTGCAATCAAAATCTTTTATTATGCTCAAACACTAATAATTTTTTCAAAGATGAAATTTCTATAAATATTTTAAGTGTACATGTTATTTGAGTTAATGTTTAATTGCGGTATTTGAATTTTTTATGATCGAATTACTAAAAATGTTCCATTGGTGATAAGTACTTGGAATTTCTAGTTATCTTCGAATCTAATGGCTTATATTAATCGACCATAATTAACTTTCCTAATCTTGCCTAGACTGGAATTTTTTCCATATGATAATGGCAATGGAGCTAGGCTACATGTCTAATTTGACTTATTTGTCCATTCAACTCTCTAGACCCCTTACTCTATCAGCTTCCTCACCTTTAATTTCTATTTCTATTTATAGTCTTTTTCTTTTGAGCCGAAAGAGAAAAGGTGACATTTTGATTCTGTCAGAGACAATTTGCAGCAACAATTAGTCCCTCATGAAACGACAGTTGCAATTCTCATAGATATCAAAGAAAGCATGGAGAAAAATGGCTTATATGTTATCCAAGTCGAGAAAGATCAGTCGCATATGCCATCTGAACAGTGCTTGGGGAGTCACATTAAGGTCACAGAAAAAAATCCAGTACCTATGATATGCAATTGTTGAAACCTACAATCCTATAGAAGGGTATAAAACTTGTTCTTGATTTAGATAATAAAATATTAATAAATTTTTGTATTTCACGTGAGTTTTTTATTATGTATTTTTCAAAATTATGATTCTCAAGCTTTTGGTTTGAACATAACAAAGTAATAAAAAATATTTAAGCTGATTTTGTAATATTTAATAATGAATTTTAGACTTGTTAAATGTTAAATGATTGCATAAATGATGAACTCGGTCGTAAGTTCAAACAAACTAAACTTTTTTATCAAGAAAATTTTCCATTCTTCATATGTAGATAGACAAGACATGCTATTTGAAAAAGATGCCAGCAAAGTCGAGTAATTTACAAATGAATCAAAGAAAATCTCACATGTAACGTTTCTAAACATGCATGATGATTAATGAATGAAACGAAAAGGGGGCACTTACAAGGATATTTTTAGCTGCTTCATTTAAGAATGCCAGTTCTCTATACTCGAAATTTATGTCACAATCCAGGGCAGCCTGCAAGATAAAAATCACTAAATTTAAGTGCAGATCAATATCACACAACTCTGAATTCCCGTTGAGAAAAAAAGGCAGGGTTATGTGTAGAAAGTGGAGGTTCACTTTAATCTCGCCTGATAGTTTCAGTGGAACAAGGTTGTGCCACTGCTGATCTTGCAACGAACGTCCGCCCATAACTTGGCTAACATTCAAACAAGGAATCAAAGCCATGGTTCTCAAACTGAAATTGTTACTATGAGCAGGTTGAAATAAACCAGGAACTCGAATAACTGTAATTGGAAGTCCTTCCAAGTTGAAGCCTTGATAGATTTAAGGGTAGATCGAATAAAAAGAAAGGACTCAAAAACTATAGATTAATCTTAGGCATATCCTTCTATTGAAGTTTCGTTCATTAAACTCAATAATTAGATAAAAATTCAGATAAACCCTGTTTTTATTATTGATATGTTAACATATAACCCTTGATTAATCTCTTTCGCTTTCTGTGGAAAGGACCAGCTGAGTTGGCATCGGATCAAATCATCTCTAATGGGGGTATTCCCCAAAAGCCAGTTCTGCTTAGGCCGTAGAACTTGGCCCAGTTATGTACGTGACTATTGGTTTTTGGCTGGTGGTCACTTATCGTTGGCAAAGGGGGCTGGTACTGGAGATAGTGCTAACTGACTTGCTTTTGCAGCCAATTTTATGGACAATCACGAGATCGCTTAAAGGCTACTTTCTTAATTTCTTTCACCATAAAAGTATGTATGGTGTGAAGGCAGAGTCAGAGCGGAGGGGGGGCTCATCTTGCTAGGGTTGCCGGCTGCCATCCCTCTATGATAGTGGGGCCGAGCATACCAACGCTCCTGACCCCACGTGGCCTAAATGATGGAGTCCACCATAGACTCCCTTGACTCTCAGCTAGCAAACAAACACCTCGATGAATGTGGCCCTATCGACACGTTCCATGCAAGCAAGAAACTTTGGCATACACCTCACATGGAAGAGAGCAGAAAGATTGAAGATTTTTCTTTTTCCCAATTTCTAATGCCTGCACATTTCACCGCGAGTGCGAGGTTTATGTCTTCACGTGGCTACTGTACACGAACGTTCTCACTTACTAGTCTTTTAAATTTCCCTGAGGCCATCTTTCTGTCCATTGTTTCACATGTGAAGGAGAGCCTCGTCAATTGCAAGTTGCATCGCTCATGGTAATAATCTTACATAAAATGAATTGCACCGACCCTCTTCAGTAGAAAAAGCCGAAAATGATTGCTGGCTAGGAAGAACAAAAGCAATAATGCTCAATGATTTGTTAATGATGCAAACTCGAGTAAAACTACAGCAGTAGCCAGCAGACTCTCAAGGAAGCCGCTCGCTGAGAGAGGTCTGGGCATAAGACATTGCCACTAAACCGCCAAAGACTAGACGCCATATATTGCAAATATCATAAGACAGCAGTGGCCTCTCCTTGGAAGAAAAATTGGTATATTATTTAAAATAAATATATATATATATATATATATATAAATTGTGGCCTCCTTTAAAAAAAAAAAAAAAAAACCTGAAGGAGAGTATGGAAGAAACAAATGACAAGATTAAACATTCATCTGCTTTCAGTATTTCATCACAAATCATACATGATCACAATACAGTCACTCATATTTAAAAGCCGAAGCTCAGGAGACAAAAGGGAACATACTAAAAGCCTCTTAAAACACTGCAGACAACGTTTTACTCAACTTCACAACAGAATGACCAATGCCTTAGAGCAGTAAACAAGAAAAAAGCAAGATATATATAACTGAACATTCGTCCCAAAAAAAAGGAAATAATGTTAAGAGATAACACAACTGAAATAATAAAGCAGCTGCCAGAGGGGTAAAACTCACTAACATGTTGCCTTATTTACAAACACTAGTAATTAGGGAAAGTTTGCTCAGAAATCACGCCCCGCCATAGAAGGGAAGTTATCAAAGCTCCAAAGCTCCATTGGGTTTCCACCATCCTGAGTTGCATCTCCATTAAGGAAGGCATCTATTGAGGCAGCCCAGTTCCCCTCATTAAATTGCATTTGAAAGTACTTCATCTGATTGTCCAAAGCCAATAGCTCATCAGACAAACTCTTTGCAGAATTGTTTTCAATAGGCATAACATTGTCAGAAATTGGTTTCAGCTTCTTCCTAGGGTTTGCATCCTCCAGGAACTCATCACTCTCTATAGAAGCTTCAAGAACAGATGATATTTCCGGAGTCTTGGCACCCTGTTCTCCCCAGCCAAAGTCAGAACAATCAAAGGAGTTAGTTCCCTGGTCCAAATTAAAATAGAAGGGGGTATTGTCAGATTGACCAGAGGGTTTCAATCCAACATCTAAAGAAGTAGGAACAAGGTCAACGTTTGCAAACTGATCCATTGGTGGCTTCTCTGGTTTGTTCAAGTAATTGAAGTTATGGTAGAGATTTGGTTGAACAGGGCTCAAATTTGACCTGGAAAGTGGTTTAGGAGAATTTGTCTTAACTGCACGTTTTGGAGAGGTACGCAGAGCCTCATCAGGAAAGTTCACCTTCGCTTTCTTACCCCGGATTCTACGCGCCTCCGCATCGTAAGCTCTTGCAGCTTCTTCGGCGGTACTGAAAGTTCCTAGCCAGACCCTAACCCCTTTCCTTGGGTCTCGGATCTCAGCAGCCCATTTACCCCAAGGACGCTGTCGAATTCCGCGATACTGGTTCTTCCTCTTTCTTTTTGCAGATTTCTCAGCTTGACCATTGAATTCCGTGGATTTTGCAGAGTTCAAACCTTCAATAATTGAAAAAGAAATCTTAATATTATACAGATGCATGAACCATAAAAAAATGTTATAGTCAAAGAAAACACCATAAATCATTACATAACTTCCACCAGGCAACAGAATTTAGGACCTTCGAATGCAAGAAAATCATAAGAAGAATATATTTAGTAAATATTATCCAGAAAATTATTACATTCTCAAATTTCTGTTCCTCCAAATTAATTAAAGAAAAAACTTTAATTTCTCCTTTTGGATATAGGAACCATGACCGTCATGCATCTTGAAATTTCAAACACCAATAGAAAAAAGGAAAGCAGAAATATAAGAAACCATACAGATCGGTCAGACTGAAACAATTAAAAGTTAATTTTAACAAATTGGTTTGTTAATACAAATTAAAAGTTAATTTTAACCAATTTGTAGATAAAGACCAAAATAAGTCAAAAAATTATATTAAAAAAATTCTAATGGTTGAAAAACATAAATTAAAGTTCCATATTTAACTTTTCAAGGAAGGATGAAAACAATTACCTAACATAAACAATAAACTGATGCAACAAAAAGTGGTCAACAATACCAAAGCATCAAGAATTATGAGGTAAAACATTAATCTCAGTGGACAAACTGCAAAATCAGCTGACATCTGCTTATAGAAAAGCTCACTATTATTTCGGATCTTTATTTATTCAAGTTGAAGAAGCTTTAAATTGCTAAGATTTTATGATCTAACTTCTAGTATTTTTTTCTGCCATTTGTCAGTTTACAACCAAATCTCAAAGGTCAAAAGGAAGATAATTAACTTTTGTTTTTGTACAAGAGACACCTACTAACTTAACTTTGTAAAACAGATAAAGAACAGAAATACAGCAGGAAAAAGAAAAATAAAAAGGACAAGCTTATATGCGTAGCCATAAACAAAAACTACCAACAACTGAAAAAAGAATAATGGACGATTTTTTTTTTTTTTTAAAGAGAGCTTTAGGTAAAATTTATAAAAATTGTAACTAAAAATAATAACCAATGTACTCACAAGGCCTAATTCAATTAAATAACCAGATAAGCATGGAAAATTCGATAACAAGAACTCATTAATTATATATATATATATATATATTTTTCATTTCACCCAAAATTAGCCACCCAATTACACCTTCAAAAAGTCGGCTATCCGTTATATCAGTTAACATGTTATTAAAATTACAACTTAGAGGTTACGGGTTCGAGATAATTTATGCACTAATGTTTTCTTCAGCAAAGTAAGTAAGCAATAGGATAAAATGATTTAAGGGTAAATTAGAAATTAAATAAAAAATAAACCTTCAAAATATTCCTCCAAAAATCACAATAAGGAAAATTTACAAATAATCAAAATGACTAATTTTGACCAAAAATTACATACTCATTATACAAAGAAAAAAGAACCCATTTTTACAAAAGGGTCAACAAACAAAACCCAACAAAACAAAACAAAAAAAAAAAAAAGAAAAATGAGGAAATTTTAATTATAATAATTAGTATTACCATCAAAGACAGCAGAAGATGGTTTCTTTGTAGCAGAGAAAGCACAAGGCTTAACATTAGCCAAAACATCATCAACACCATCGAAGTCATCGACGTCGTATTCCTCACCCTTAAACTCCTGAAAGTCTGCCTCGAAGTCATCGTCCAAATCGATCACCGGCTTCGAGTACCTTTTGCCCGACCCATTTTTTGACCCGAATTTTTTCAGATCGGGCCACAAGTAATCAACCATCAGCCGTCGCGACCACGTCTCTGTCTGTGTCGGCGGAATATAATCGGAGATAATCGCACCTCCACACATGGTGATTTGATCAGAGTAAGGGACTTAAGTGGAAAGATGTTCAGAGATTAGTGGGTAAAATGAGGATTATGTAAAATTTGAGAGCGCTTCTTTTTTGTTTTACTAGATGTTTTAGTTTTAGGGTGGGTTGGATTGGACTTGAGACCTGGCTGGCTGGGGCGTTTTATATTCTTGCGGAGGAAATTATGTAATTGTATTGTTTTACCTTCATGCCCTTATTTATTTATTGATGATAAAGATAAAATTATAATAAAATATTTAATATAATATTTAAATTTTAAAATTTTTTAATGTTATATATGAATTATAAATTTATTAATTAATATAATATTTATTTTAATATAATTAATTTAAAATAATGACATTAACAAATAAATAATCTTTTAAGTATAAATATATCATATTTATTAATAAATTTATATTCGATAATATGTTAAAAAAATTTTAAATTCGGATATTATATTAAATATTTTATTATAATTTAAAAATAATTTATGACATTAACTCTTATAATAATTACAAATATAGAGAGATTATCATTTCTAATGGATACTATTACTTTGGGTAAAAAACATAAGAGTAAATATGTTATTAATAAATTCGGAGTTTTGTTTTATTAATTTATATAATTATTTTTAAGAGATGATATCTAATAAATTATTAATCTTACTAAATTAATAACTTAAGAGTTCATGTATACTTATATAGATATTCTAAAACTATGATCTTTTATAAAAAAAATTATTAATCTTTTACAATTGTATAAGATGCATGGAATCTTATAAGAACCATGTATTCGATGTTAATCATAATAAAAGAATACCTTATTTTGTCAAGACATCTCGTATCTTATAAGATTTATGTATTAAAAATATTCCATTTAATCAGAAAAAAAATCATATTTTGTCAATATATTTGGTATCTTATAAGATTCATGTATTTAAAATACTTTATTTTATCAAAATATCTCGAACCTTATAAAATTCGTGTATTGGATATTAATATTATAAAAAGTATTCTCTAAGGTCTATTTTGGTTTGAAAGAAGAAAAAGATAAATAAATTGCCTAATGATTTCTTGTAATAAGACAGCAAGTTGTATGCTTTAAAATTCTTAGATTTGAGATTTAACTTTAATAAGGTTTATCCTATTAACATATGTTATATCCTAAAAGATTTGTATGTTCAAGACTAATAATAATGAAGAATTAAGCGTTGTCGGAATATTAATTGTTGAATAAGATGAAATCTTCTACTTATTAATCATATTGGTAAATTTGGTATTTGTATTTATTAAAAATATATATGTTTATGGAATATTAAAAAAAATGGTGTTTATGAACTCTATATTAAAACAAATACATTTCCAATGATAAGATAAAAATTCAAAACTTGGAAATAATTTGTAACTTTATAATTTGTTGATAAAGGATTTTTTTTTGGTGCATTACACACGAAATCGTTGAGAATGAATGAAGAAATGGTTGATGACAAACAACATTATAGCCATTTCTTGTATGCTAGCAAAATTGTGGTTACCTTTGTTCTAGAAAATACCAAAATAAGAAGGAAAATATAAAATATACAATTTGAGATTTAATTTAATTGATTTATGTAATCACTCTTAATATGTGATATTTAAAAGATATGAGATTAAAATTTTAACAACTGTAATTTTTTATTTTCAAATTACATGTAACTTTTTTTTTTTTTTTTGTAAAAAAACATGAAAAATGCATATGTATTAAAGATCCATAGTTTAAATTACTAAAATTTGTGAGTGCTCATCAATAATTGACTCTAATCAATCCTCAATCAAAGTTTTAAAAAATTTAGATAAGATAATAGAGAAATCTAGTTATTACATTGTTATTTAATATTTTATTTATTTATTTATTTATTTTTTATGTGAATCAATATTTTCAGTGTAGAATGAGCTAATTTGAGTGGTATTATTATTATTATTATTATTATTTTCATGTATATGAGAATACATTATAAACAAACTATGGGATATTTATCAAAATAGGAGATAGGACATGCATTAAACTTTATAACAATCTCATTTTTTTTGGTTTAATGTTATTACATTAATTACTTATTATTTAATGGAGTTGGAGAAGAATGACTAATCAACAATTAATCCATAAAAGCAGATGAAGGAATATGCGATCATCTGATAGTCAATGACGGTTTCAAAACTTGCCTTTTCCTTGTTTTATTTCTCTCTTCTTCTAGTCTCAAGGGTTTGAAATGGTAATGGAGTGGATATCCATTATATAAGATATTTATATTTAAATCCGTTTAATATTTATGATATTCAAATTTTTTTAACTATTCATTAAAGTTTAATATCATTATCCAAATATGAATTTATTTAAATAAGCATTATGCATTTAAAAATTCAAATCTGTTAAAATATTCGTTTATTTAAATTTTTTATTAAAATATAAAATAAACTAGAATTTAATTTAAAATCCAAATTCACTCTTAATTAATGATAAATAAAAGTTATCTTTTAAGTTTTAAATTCTTTTATAAGTATAAAATTTTATTTATTATATATATATATATATATGTAAACAGATAACAAATTTGGATACAAATTTATATATAAATTACTATTTATTACAATTTAAATAAATTTAAATATTGGATATTAAAAAGATACTATTTATATATACTCCAAATTCATCATAAATAATAAATTTTTTATTCAAATTCATTTATAATTATTCAAATCCAATATAAATGAATCGAATAATAATTAATATTTATTTATTTACTATCTAGTATCATTTCTATCGAGGGCAGATAAATCAAAAGTCAAAACTATACAAAATTTGTTCGTCAGAGAAAAAAAATACTATTACAACTACTGCTGGATTCTGTTTGAGAAGCTTTTGAAAAAAAAATATATATATATATAGAGATGGGTTTCTTGGTATTTCACATCTGACCCTCACTATTAAGGCTTTTTCCAAAGCACCCAATTGTGTTTACCTAATGTTGGAGAATTTGTTTTTTCAATGTGTTTACTTAATTATTTAAATTTTCTTTGAATTCAAGAGGTTTTTTTTGTTCATATATAGTCCCGACACCCCTGGTTTATTTCTAACGTACTTTACGTGAATTCGAGATAAAATGTTGGGACACGGATATGTGTTTGATTTTAGTATTTTATCATATTTTTATAATTTTGAACATTAATTTTGAGATCAAATTATCATACTCATATAAACTATGAAATATTCAGTAAGTATCGGATATACATAAATACATTAATATATAAGAGAAAAAAAATTATATACACGTAATAACTACACAAATTTTATAAAGCAAAGAGTCCATTTAACAGATTTTTTTTTCGTCAAACATGTCAGGTGCTAGCTACCTGTTTTCTTGACTGCGATTTTACACTTCGTAAAATTCTTCAGAAAGCTATTTTTGTTCATGCAAAGAGGCTACAATATGCAATACGTGTTCGTAATTTGTGATTTGGAAATGTACATGGCAGTTGGCATGTGGCTTCTTTAAAATCAGCACTTTTTATATGTTGAATTTATATTTTCACTACAATTTTATAATGATTCGGTATCAATATTAAAAAGTATTAAAATCCTTACCAAGTTTACGTGGACGCCTCATTTATATAAAAATGGTTAAATTTCGTAATAATATTATGATGTGAATTCATTTTTTTTAAATAGAAAAATTTAAAATTTAATTTAATTGATTATATAATTATTCTGAAATTTAATATATTTGAGATTTAAAATTTGACATTTGTAATTTTTTTTTATTTTGAAATTGTGAATGTTTAAAGGAAGTGGTTTTAATTACTTAAAATTCGATCATTGAACTTCGTGATGATAGCAAGAGAGAAAAAAAAAAAAATCAAAGATGAACGTGGGCTTCGGTTTAGGATTTTGAGGAAAAACAACGTGATTTAGGAAAATTGTGTGGAAACATACACATTTATTACCATTCTTTCTTGCTTTATTTATTTATTTATTTTGTCTTCGTTTTCAAATCACCTTTAACGTTAAGTTGCTTGGTCAATAAGAAAATCCTGAGTCCAAATAAATTACATAGTGACATATTTCTAAAGCCTCCTTCAAACTCATGTGATGTTCTTGCCTCTACGTGCCAACCCTAGATTCTCCAATTAGTGCTTCAATAGGCATCGAGAAAATCTTCAATTTAATGAGTGATTTGTTTCACCACATGCTATTACTTTTTTTTTTTTTTTAGTATGTTATTAAGTGATCTATTGTTAGATATGGAAGAGCAAATTAACCATATAACAAAAGAGAAGGAACAAATAATTAGAATATGATTTGATTGTTAATAAGCAAAAAAAAAAAAAAAAAAAGGAGGGAGCCAATTAAACCATGTCTGAATGGTGGAGGAGCTCTAGAATCATTAAGTCTGGGATTCAAGTTTTATTTTCCGTAAATTTTGTTCGATTTTATATTATATTGCTTATTGTTTTATGTTAAAAGTTATTAATTAGATTATAATTGTAATAAATTGATATTATTTTAAATACATGTATATTCTATTGATCATTTCAATAATTTTTTTTTTATATTTGAGGTTACAAAAATTAACTCATGATTATTAAAATTAAAAATCCAACACTCTATCAAACATATTACATGAATGTTGATTTTGATTATTTCAATATTAAATTCATGTATATCATAGCCAAAGAGCTGGACTTCCTACACAATTTGCCGAAGGGGGCCAACACGAATTCAGGAGACAGAATCTGAAAAAAAAAATGTTGAGTAAAGGTCAAAGAAGATGAAAAAAGAGGTTCATGCATGAGAATATACCGTAAATGAGGAACAATAGACAAATGAAAAGAAATAAATAAGTGATTGGTTCAATGGGTTAAGATCGTTTTTTTTTTATGAAAAGATTTTGGATTCGAGTCTTATCGATAGTCATTTGTTGGGATCATCTCGAATGTATGGCCTGCAGTTACTTGTCTTAGGTTATCAGGTACGACATATCTTGTCCTGACTTGAGTGATTGAATAACTTATTTACTTTCGAATTTTTTTTTTAAAAAAAAAAATTGACAAAACAAAAGAAAAATGAAAGAAAAGGGACCCCCAACCAGAAAATTCACAAAGTTTTTGCA